ATGATGTCAAACGTCACGTAAATCCAACCCTGCGGTCAAAAAAGCGTCCTACTAAAAAGTGAGCGCAAGGACGGTCACACCCGAGGCCACCGGCGCGCACGGCGTGCTCCAAGATCGGAGAGAGACGGTAGTACTGTAGTACGTTGCAGCGGGCTATATCAGCACAACAGAACGATGACGGGAGATGGACTAACCACCATCACCAATCACCGAACTCGTTTCAGCGCCGAACCGGCGTCGATGGCTTCACCGCCACCGCGGAACATGCCACGAGCAGAACTCAGACGGCACACGCCGTCGGTCAATTCTTCAAGCCTGTGCGCCGTTCTGCGCGATGCATGCTGGAGCTCCTTGTCAAAGGGAACCGCTTCCATGTCGCGCGGAGAAAACGACCGACGTCCATCATATGCCGCGGCTCCGGGTTGCTCGGCCGGCTGCTTCTAGAAACAAGCCGCTAGGACCGTCGCCTTTATCTCTGGTCCTCTTCTCTAATCTTCCATGATCCCAGATCGAGGAGCACTGATCAGATCTCATAGGGTCTATGCTCTGCTTTTCCCAGTAGAGTAGTACACCTAAGCTTCCGTTTCGCGATCAATGCTCCCCACTGATTGGCAAAATGATTGCCGCCTTGCTCGACTCGAACCCATAATAACTGATTCTGCAGCAAAAAATTACAGGTCACAAACTGGCAGGTTTGGCATAGGCAGCAACAGAAAGCAGTTCAGGGTACTCTTTTCTTGGATCGTAGCCGCGTATGAGACATGATTGCATCAACAGAATGTCTTTCGGTTGACGGTACGTACCGCACGATCTGAGAGAAATATGTGTCCTCAAAATGGGAAAGCGGTTGAAGGCGCCCCACCACGCGGAACGAAGGTCAGCGTCTCCATGGCCGTGTGTTTGAGCGTGACCAAAGTCCACGCCCTCTGCTGTATTGATGCGTCTATCTTTAATCTGAACGATGTGTATGTGCGCTATCCATATACGCGTCAATGCGCGGCAACTTCTTTTCTGCAAAGGCGCCACACTGTCACAAAAAAAGAGCCAGCTATCGGGATCGGGACTTCCATTGCCAGTTGTAATGTTTGCATCTATGATATGTTGTAAGTTACTTAGTTGAGCTTAATCAACATTGTTGACGTAAAAATGTATTGTCTAGTCTATTTCATTAGAGCATTTACAACCGGACCACTCAAATTCATCTCAACATCCGGGCGGACCACTCGGTCATGATTTTTTGACCAACACGGCCCCCTCAAACACCCAGGCTGACCGGCACCTCTCATATCTAGCCCAAATATAGGGCGGATATGGGGCGCCCGGACACGCCCACCACGTCGGACCCGACAACCCGACCCCATCCCTCTCTTCTTCCTCCTCTGCACCGTCCGGCTCGCAGCTCCGCAGCCATTCCCACGCTCTCCGCCGCCAGCTCCGGAAGAGTGCTCCCATCCTCGCCGCGGGGGACGTTGTCGCCGGCCCGGACGCCACCGTGGTACGTCCGGCAACTCTCCGGCTCCGCCTTGCGCTTGATGTGTTTGACACATTGACCGACCGGAATTATTATAATTTTGTTAGGTAAATGATGGAGCTTGACCAAATGATTCAAGATGAATTCTTCGATTCGTCGGATTAGGACGAAGAAGTGGACATGATTATGCTCATGAGCATGCAAGAGAAAATGGACCGGCAAGTGGAGCATATTCTCAACTTCAAGGGCTCAATCAAAGGGAGAAGAGTGACCAATCGGGACAGGGTGCATCTACTTTCCCGGATGATCCGTGGTTTCGACATTGTTTTCTATAAACGCTATGTATGCTTGATACCAACAATTGCTATTTACGTGCGACATTGTGTTTGCATGATCGACGTGCATGTATTTGCATGGATTTGAGAGTCCGGATTTGAGATATGTGGATGCATGGAAGGAAATATGAGTGCTCGTACGGATGCGCCTGTGGGTGTACCCGGACGCGTCCGCGGGCGTTTGAGCGACCGGATTTGCCAAGTTCGGATGTAGATGTTCTTAGATCGGTTTTTGGATTGCATTGGCTGAAACATGCACTTCTACAAGCATCACGAAGCATTTGGTTTGTAACTTTTCCACCATCTTCCGATTACAGTGTTTAGCAAAAACGTTACAGCCATCTGGTTTGGTTGGGCCGGTTTCCATCACGGTGTAAAGCCCAAAACCGCACGCGTCGAGTAGATATGAAAACACTCGATCCCATTTCCCTTTCTCCGCTCGTCTATGCCTCGCTTCATCTCCACCATGAGCCCTCTCCTTCACCGCACGACCATCCCTCGCCACCGGAGTAGGAACGCTGGGCCTCTCCCTCCCCCGCGGCAAGAAGCAACGCTGGATCTATCTCTCTCCTCTTCAAGCTCCATCCCCTCGTCCCCTGTTTTCTTCGACGCAAGCCACCTCAGCCTCTGCTACCTTCAGCAAGAACCATGATGCTGCATTGTATTGAGAAAGTATCCCCTTGTTGAACCAAACAAATCACATGGTCACTCAATACACCGGCCAATATAGTGCAGTCTAATTACAAAGCTGAATACATTACGTGAGGTGAACCAAATGTGTCGTTAGTTACTCAAGTATATAATGAGAAGAAGCAACGGAAGTGAACTTAAAATTTGCATCGCATTTATTGTTTGAAAGTTAAACTTTATTTGTTTGAAATACTAATAGTTACATCGTAGGATATGTACAATTTTGCTCATAGGCTCCTCAAACCAATCGTTAGTTGAAGAAAATCTAGCTAACCTAACAAACTCATGAGCAACTTTGTTCGCTCCCCTACTACAATGTTCGAAACTAGTAAGAAAAAAATCATAAGCAAAAAAATAACAATCATCAAAAACTACCGTCGCCGCTCCCGCAGAATGTCCTTCATTCTTCATGGTATCAATGATCTCCACAATCAGAATTAATAATGAGACGATTGCAGCCCGCCTTTTGCGCAAGGGTTAGGCCGAATCTTAGCACCAGAACTTCAGCCGTCATGACATCTGCACACCACTCGATTCTCAAATTTCCGCCAACAATAAAATTTCCTTTTATCATCTCTGATGACGCCGCCATGCCCCTAAGCATGTCTTGATCAAAAGATGCATCGATATTAAGTTTTGCAAAATCCTTAGGAGGCCGAATCCATTCCCCTCTTTTACTCGTAGCATTGGGGGAAGAGGCATTAACGTAATTTGTTGTTAGAGCATGAATCCCCATAGAAATTTAATACACATCTTAAGTTGTTTCGTCATGAACCGGTTTACACACTTCCTACCACAAGAACCAAGTTGTAATGACTATCAATTCTCGAGCATTCTGAAGACCCAGAATGGAGAAATCTTGGTCTGGCAGCAGAAGCAAGAACTCAATGACAACCTCACATGCACGATCTTTCATAGTCTCTTTTGATCACTTCATCCATACCTATTCCATACGTCCTTAGCTTTCTGGCACTGAAATAATAGTTGCTTTGTATCTTCTGGCCCATGAGAAGAAGATAGGCATTGTGGTGACACTTTCATATGTCAATTGACAAATGACAAGTGTAAAACGACAGGGGAGAGTGCCATACAGCGTGCACCAAATAAAGATTTTAACTTTTGCCGAACAAGATAATTTCCAAATGTAGATCAAACAGGATTAACATCAATTTGTCTCGTACCATTAGTATGTCGAAGTTTACTCCCGTATTGGTAGTCCCATTCCACAAAATAAGCCGACCGAGCAGTGAACATTCTATTTTTTGTGTAGCTCCATGCTATAAAATCTGACATATCATGAAGAGAAAGAGAAATATCGAGGACACGCTGAGCATTAATTGGCCATAACATTTGTCTCACCAGGTCTTCATCCTATTAATTAGTGACTGGATCAATAAGATCAGAGAACCTTGACAGAGGTGTCTCCCTCTTGGAGTAATATAATGTTTCTATTCTCGTAATTTGGGATCCATTCATCTTTTCAAATATAAATATTTTGTCCCTTGTCCACTCACGGGATATAACCATGCTTTAACGAATTGACTCCCGCCATAACACTTTGCCAATTAAAAGAGGAGCCCTTTTTTAAGTTTGCATTCACCATGGAGAAAATACTTTGCTCTTAAATTATGTACCCCATCGTTGCAAAATATGTCGACAAACGAAGAACGCGATGTGACTGACTCTGACCACCATTCGCTCTCGGCTATTCCTAGTTGTTTTGGCCGTTTGGCCAATTCAAATCTGCACTTACCAAGGAAATACACGTTCCTAGCTCAGCATTGCCGAGAAGTTACTCGCTCAACGGACGGTAACTGACAGACGATCATCACACACGCTCAAATTTTTCCCACACCTGACGCCATCATGACATTTACAGGCCACCACACAACGCTCTCGACAGTTACGGTTCCGGCCTTCAGGGACCGGTTTACTTCGTCGCGCACGGCTGCACGACGCCGTCCACGTCCACAGCTCCGCGCATCATCCAGTGAACCAGTCCACGAAGCGAACTGCACCGGGGATATGCCTGCTGACAGCAGGAAAATGGCCAGCGATTCGTGTTCATGTTCGATCACATTGGCCTACAAAGCAGAGGATCTCAAGAGCAGCAGCTAGCAACAACTGACCAAAATTCAAACGAGCAACTGTTTCGCCGATCATTTCACGCACTGTTGAGTTGAGTTGTGCTCCAGATCATCGTCTCGTGCCGTCAGCGTCAACTGGACCAGGAGTAGGATCGGCGACAGCGGGCAGGCGTGCGATCTCGGCCGTCCGACGTTTCATCGGACGGTCGAGAGCACGTCCAGACCGAGAATGTGGTTGCGGATTTGTGGAAGTGAGTCCGCCCGCCCTCCTCAAGTCCTCTTCCCCTTGTCGCCAAACGAGAGCCATTTGTGAAGCTTCTTTCCGATATTCCACTTTCTTGTTTCGTCCCTCCCCACCTCTCCTCTTCCACCCCCCTCACATGGTGTGATCGGCCAAGCGAAGGGACCACCGCAGCCATGCCTCCGCCGGTAGCCGCCGCGCTGGTGATGCTGCTCGCCGTGGCCTTGGGCGCGGCGCGCGCCGCCGACGACCTAGCGTCCGACACCGCGGCGCTGCAGGCCTTCATCGCGCCATTCGGGTCGGCGTCCGTGTCCTGGAACGCGTCCCGGCAGACGTGCTCCTGGACCGGCGTCGTCTGCTCCGGCGGCCGCGTCACGGGGCTCCACCTGCCCGGGGACGGCCTCCGCGGCTCCGTCCCCGTCGGCGCGCTCGGCGGCCTCACCAGGCTCACCGTGCTCTCGCTGCGCTTCAACGCGCTCTCCGGCCCGCTGCCGGCCGACCTGGCCTCCTGCGTCAAGCTGCGGGTCATCAACCTGCAGTCCAACCACTTCTCCGGTGAGCTCCCGGCCGCGATTCTCTCCCTCCCGGCGTTGACGCAGCTAAACCTCGCTGAGAACCGGCTCTCCGGGAGAATACCGCCCGCCATTGCCAAGAGCGGGAAGCTGCAGCTGCTCTTCTTGGAGGGCAACCTCTTCACCAAAGAGCTGCCCAACGTCGACATGCCATCCCTCTTGTCTTTTAACGTCTCCTTCAACGACCTCACCGGCGAGGTTCCCAAAGGCTTCGGCGGCATGCCCGCCACGTCTTTCCTCGGCACGACACTGTGTGGCAAGCCCCTCCCGCCGTGTCGAACACCATCTACCCAACCACCGTCCCAGCCTCCCACGGTTGCCCCCGAAGCCGCGGCCGCGGGAAACGGCCACGGGCGGGGCCGGCGACACCTCGCGGGCGGTGCCATCGCGGGCATTGTGATCGGCTGCGCTTTGGGCTTCCTGCTTATCGCCGCCGTTCTGGTCCTTGCCTGTGGCGCCCTGCGCCGGAAGCCAAGAAGAACCTACCGCAGCCAGGACGCCGTCGCGGCGGAGCTGGCCCTGCACAGCAAGGAGGCGATGAGCCCGAATAGCTACACTCCACGGGTCTCCGACGCGCGGCCGCCACCGCCCGCATTAATGCCGCCTCCGGTCGCCCCCGTCTCCGTGGGGCGGAAGAAGCTTTTCTTCTTCGGGAGGGTGCCGAGGCCGTACGATCTGGAGGACCTGCTCCGCGCGTCCGCCGAGGTTCTTGGCAAGGGCACGTACGGTACCACGTACAAGGCCGCGCTGGAGACGGCGCCGGCGGTGGCAGTGAAGCGTCTCAAGGAGACGTCGCTGCCGGAGCGCGAGTTCCGGGACAAGATCGCGGCTATCGGTGGGTTGGACCATCCTAACGTCGTGCCACTGCAGGCCTACTACTTCAGCAAGGACGAGCGGCTCATGGTGTACGAGTTCGTCGCCACGGGCAGCCTCTCCTCGATGCTTCACGGTACGTGTTCTCGTCAGATTCTCTCTGTTTTCTTGCTCCAAACTCTGCTCCGAATCGGAACAAAATTTCTGAATTTGTGAGAATCTCAGGCAACCGTGGCGCCGGGCGATCGCCGCTGAGCTGGGAGTCGAGGAGGCGGATCGCGCTGGCCTCGGCGCGCGGCCTGGAGTACATCCACGCGACGGGCTCCAAGGTGGCGCACGGCAACATCAAGTCGTCCAACATACTCCTCGGGCGGTCGGTGGACGCGCGCGTGGCGGACCACGGCCTGGCGAGCCTCGTCGGCCCGGCCGGCGCGCCGTCGATGCGCGTGGCGGGGTACCGCGCCCCCGAGGTGGTCGCCGACCCGCGGCGGCTGTCGCAGAAGGCGGACGTGTACAGCTTCGGGGTGCTGCTGCTGGAGATGCTGACGGGGAAGGCGCCGACGAACGCCGCGCTGCACGACGAGGGCGTGGACCTCCCGCGGTGGGCGCGGTCCGTGGTGCGCGAGGAGTGGACGTCCGAGGTGTTCGACACGGAGCTGCTGAGGCAGCCGGGCGCGGAGGAGGAGATGGTGGAGATGCTGCGGCTGGCCATGGACTGCACCGTGCCGGTGCCCGACCAGCGGCCGGCGATGCCGGAGATCGTCGTGCGCATCGACGAGCTCGCCGCCCCGGGGTCGGCGTCGTCCATGGCACGGCCTGGCCGGAGCATCTCGGTCGACGAGGCCGACGACCGGCCGCTCAAGCCGGCCGGGTCGATCCGAGAGAGCTGAGGCTCGGTCGGTGTCACCCAGCATGGCGACCGTTCGGTAATTTACGGAAGATTCTGAAGAGAAGAGAATCTTGTCTTCTTGCGTGTGTCTTTAGGGCATTACTTATTTACCACCGTGTGCTTTCTACTTTCTTTTTTTGAAGTTTCATGAATTTCTTGATTCTTCTTCCTTGTCACGAATTCTTTGGATTAGCTGCGTGTGTTGAGGGATGCTGGCGATAGGAGAGGCACTGCTGGTTCTGAGACAGACAGAGTATGTAATTACATCATCATCATGGAGTTGATTTTGTTGCGATCGTGCGCGGGTCACCTGATTAACAATCATCTACCCGAAGAAAACAGCTGCTTTTGTGCAACTATTATACTCCCCCCTGCATGGAAACGGTAAAGAGAAAGTGTTCTTAATTTGCCATGAAATTAAGTGGAATCAGGAGCACAATCTTCAGACATTGGCCACCGTAAATGTCATGTCGAGTGTCACGTCAGTTTGTTGCGCCGTGGTACGACTTTTCCACACCGCAAAAAACAAGAGAGTTTTCTGTGAAAGCAACGAGAACATGGACGTGTTCAAAAAAGAAAAAGAAAAACGAGAACATGGACGTGTGTTGGCGGCACATCGGGCTGTCCCCGGCCAAGATCCCTGCAAATGATGAAGGCGGCGTCAATGCGTGCGTGCCTGTATGCTTAGGCAGGCGTACTTGCCGAGCATAACTCGCCGATGATGGAACAAAAACAAAAGGGAGAAGAGCGAGATGGTTGCAGCTGGACACACAGCAGCGGAGCAGATCGGAGATCATGCACTGCACTGCACCCCATGTCTGTCATTAGTTGGCAAAGCTTTTATAAAGGAGGAAGGAGGTTCGGCCGATGGATCGAGCCGGGGCGACAATCAATGTGGCCTATCCAAGGAAATCGATCCACAAACAATAATGGCCGATGTGAGTGAATGAACAATTGGTCCTGTGTTTGCAACAGCTCGTTCGGTCCGTTCACGGACACGACCGTCCAATCCACCCCCCATGCATTTGCACTGCACCTTTCGGTACAGGCGTACAGCCGATCTTTACTATAACTGCTTTCCATGGACACTTTCACCAGTAATTTTTTATTTGAAAAAGGAGAATTGCCCTGCATGAAGCTTGATGATGCGTCTTAACCTTGCATCAACACACACCGTCTAATCTGATGGCCTCATCAAACCCCCCAGCAGTGAGCCGAGAGCACCAACCGGTTTAGCAGGCCCTCAGCACGCATCAAATGTGCACGCTCTAGAATCAGTCGCCGTCATCTTCTATCGTCCCACCGCCCTACGCTCGTGCATCCAAACGCATCTCTCGCCGACACTCAGTTGCATCATGCCACCAAGACCCGCCGTCGTCAACACGGTAGATGCCACGCCTCCGTCGTCGCTCGAGCCCTTGCCCAGAGCCCACCGCCCACAGACACCCTTTCAAGGGAATCCAAGCCTCCCAAGACTGCGCCTCCATGGAGGATACGACGCACATGGCACCGTCGTCGCCCAATCCAAGGTGGATTTTGGACTTTCGTCCGAGAAGGGAGTCGGGGGTGGATAGGAGGTACTCCGAATGTGCCTTCAAGAAGGAGAATGGCGCTGAAAGACGTCGCCACTGTAGGGCCGAGTCAGCCGATCAAAGTTTTCTCCAGTCCCAATCCTACACCATCAACCTCCGTCTACTCTGGATCTGGCACGAGATGCAACTGGAACCTCTAGAGAAGAGAGTGCCATGTGGACGAACAACCCTCCACATTTGGCGATGAGGAAGGTCACTTGGCTTCACGCTTGCCGCCCCGCTGGCACCTCCCAGCCCTCATGGCTGAAGGCACCGGCCATATCCACTGTCCGTGAACACCGTCAACCGTGGGGACGACGTCGCCTCCCAGATCAAGGGCACCGCATGGGAGTGCCCAACCCTCCACCGAGTGACATAGCAACGAGATCATCACTATCACCCTAACCGGCGACTGCACGGGCTTGCCCAGCAACCTCCTCCGGTGGCGGCGAGGGAGATGAGGGGGAGGGGGTGGCGGTGCGGGGGAAATCCTAATCGCTTCCAGTGTCGGCCAAGAGGACGACACGGGCCAGCTCTTGCTTAAAGCATCTACAGCCGGGCGCCCCAAACCCGCCTCAAATGCCCGAGCAGATCCCGAGGAGGAGGAGGATGTTGGGGATGCTAGGGACACGGGTCTGCAGTCGAAGCAGCAGGCCATCCTCGACTCCCTCCGCTCGGAGTCGGATGCGGAAGCCAGACGCCGTCGCTGGCAGGAGATGGAGGTGCAGCACGCCACGGAGGGAGAAGGAGATGTTCGCCTACATGGATGAAGGCGAGCAGGAGGAGGATGAGCCGAAGCCTTCTATGCGCCCGTCCTCCCGGCGCCGGGCACCAACATCATGGACATCTTCGACGACAAAGATTAATTAGGGCAGTACGTAGAATGTAATACGTAGGATTTCGTTGCATGATTTGTGTATATTTAGGGATTAAAATATGAAAGACTCAAACGCAGAGTAGCTTAACTGGAGGCGTGACCGGTCACTGTCCGCGAACGTGCCTGATCGTGAGCGGGCGTTTGAGGAATTCGGGTTTGTCAAGTCGGCTGTGGATGCTGTTACTTGAGTAAATATAACCATCCACAACACATGCAGTGCAGTGCGAGGCCGTTTCTGCTGACCTGGATTCTGTAGGGTATACTGTATCATGCACGATGCACCGCAGTGGAGGGAGGAGACTGGGGGTACTGGTACCGGTTTTGGGTGTGTGGATAAAAGTTGCACATACTACATGAGACGAGGACGGGGACGCGACGCATTGAAGCCAACTGTTGTGGACGCAGGCAGGCAGGCAGGCGTCGTGGTGGAGTGCGTTTAATTGATGCCCGCCTGTACTCGCTGCTGGCTGGCTACTGCTGCTGCACGGCGGATCCATGGGTCGGCCCATGGCTTTTCGTTGCGCCGGTCCCCGCCAGGCCGGCCGGCCGGTTGGGGTGGGTCAGTGGGTGGGCGGCTGGGCGCTGGACCGGCGGGGGGTGGAGCCCTTTCTTCTCTCTGCTCTCCGTCCAGCCCCAGCGGCTGCACTTGGCGCGAGTGTGCTGCCTGTGCGCCACCACGTGCGATGCCGCGCCGCAGCTGCGGATCTCACGCGCGGAGGCGGCTCGGCTCCATTGACGTTGTTCCCCGGAAGTGCACGGCGCTCTAGCCCGTGCCGGCCACCTGCGGGCACGCGTGCGCCGCTGCACTAGCGGCACGGCACTGCCGCGTCGGTGTTGAACTTTGTTTCAACCTCGGCCGTGGCCGCCGCAGTGGCAGGCACGCGCACTGCGCGTTTCCGTGATCTCAGACGAGTTCTTTTCTTTTCAGAAGACAAGCTTGCAGGCTTAATCTAGGGATTACAATCAGCCACACATCTGTCTTCCACGTCAGGCATCTCCAACGCCAACCGTCGAACCCTCGAACCGCCTTCCACCCGCATGGTTCGAACGTGTTTCTGTCATACAACGTCGTCATGTATCGGTCCGCTGACTGGTCCAAACGTGCTTTTTCCCGCAATCCGAAAACAAACTGGAGGCTTGTGGGCGTCCGAACCGTTGGCACACCCACCTCCGACAACCATGGCCCATCCAACCCCCCCGCCCTCCTCGCCCACGCGCTTTCCTTTCCAAAACCATCTGCCAGCATTGATGCCGCTCTAGAGTGGCCGCTCCGCATTGATGTCATTTGAGAGTAGACGTGACCTCTCACTGGCGCCGGCATTGAAGCGGCTCGCCGGCTAAGGGCGTCGTCCATGTCGTGTCTCGGTGTCCGCGCTTATTCAATGTTAGAGAGACGTTTACTAGACGAGACAAGACGAATATCTACCGTGCCCGTTCAATGCCTCGTCCATCCGTGCCGCCGCTAAACAAGCTCGTCGTCCGAGAAACCAACTTCGTCACCCGCGCATTAACGCACCTGGACGGTTGGCCTCACCGCAATCCTATATTTAAAGGTGGCCACACCAAGCTCACAACACACCACAACATGTTTGCTCTACATCTTCCTCCCATGCACTACATCCGTCATGACCGTGAGTGGGAACACTTTATGGGAGAGCCTCTCGACCTAGCAGAAGCACGAGGGGGCCGCCCTTCCGGCCGCATGGCAGAGTCGTTTTGCTAGGCAGATCGAGGTCGGCATGCGGGTCAACTCCCCCGAGGCCTTCGCCGACGACCCCACGATGGAGATTGGCTCCGACGATGACTCACCGCTGGAGCCTGTGTCGGTGCATGCTGGCTTGACCATGGAGTAGGCGCCCTTCATCGCCATCATGTGCTTAGAATTCCCCGAGAGAAGGGTGAAGCAGCAAGTAACAAATATTTTCCTCAGTTAGAGAACCAAGGTTATCAATCCAGTAGGAGCTTCTAAGCTAAACAAGTCTTTTTTACGGGAATCTAAGCTAAACAAGTCAACAACACCTACACACGACACAAACAAACTTGTCGCCAACACGGCAAGAGAGTTGTTGATGATGGGGAACGTTGCATGAAAATCAAAAAAAAATCCTACGAAACACCCAAGATCTAATTTGTGAGACGCATAGCAACGAGAGGGCAGTGAGTCTATGTGACCTTGTAGACCGAAAGTGTTAGCGTACGTAACGCGGTTGATGTAGTTATACTCTTCGCGATCCAATCATGATCCAATCCGACCTAGTTCTGAACGAACGTCACCTTCGAGTTTAGCACATGTTCATCTGAATGGCGTCATGTCCTCCTTCATCCGGCAAGCGAGGGAGAGGAGGTAGATGAGATCGAGACCAGCTCAACGGCGAGGTGGTGGTGGTGGCAGCGGAATTCTGGCAGGGCTTCGCCAAGCGCGTACCGAAGAAATGTGGGAGGAGTTGTGAAAGGCAATGGGCAAGGGTCAAGGGGTTGCTTCCCCCATGCGCCCCCTCTTTATACAGGCTAGGGGGAAGGGGAGGGCGTCCAAAACCCTTCTAGGGTCGACCA